GCAGCTTTCAGTATGCAGATGACACAACCACGCCTACCGCAGTCGAGGAGGTTTCGAAGCACTGGCTGGGGAAGATGAAGCATTGTGCTTTCCGTTTTGATCGCAATTCAATGTAAAGAAGCCCCACATCCTCACAACTGAGCCAACAGATAACCTCGTGATAAAAGGAGGAAAGAATGAGGTTATCAAGGATTTCATCTTGCTTGTATCCATAATCAGTGCTCATGGATCAGCAGTCAAGAAATCAGAAGACTTATTGCCCTGGACAAATGTACTGCAACAGATCTCTTTAAAGCGTTAAAAAGGAGCCATATCCCGTTGAGGGCTAAGGTGTGCCTGGCCCATGCGATGCTGTTTTCCATTGCCTAGAGACGATGATCCTCTGTGAAATGCATCGACGCAGTGGCTGTAACCACGAGCTCAAACACAGCAGTGATTGTGAGGCTGGTGCAGGGCCACGGGGTACTTCGTTCTGTTGCATATGGCGTTGCTATGCGTCAGAACCAATTCAGCAGCATCAAACAAGTAAACCTCTGTGGTTTGGGTTTTTATGGTTGTACTTGTACATATCACCAAGCAAAACATGCTTCAAGTCGATTTTTACATGAGGAAGCTAGTGACATTGATGATATTCAACATGGTGTGCAGCCACCATCACTAGTAGTTTCCAGATTATTCCATCACTATTAGCCAAAAGGCAGTGGTCTCGAAGCAAAGCCACTTCCTTTCCCACTCCATCTTGCTCCTGCAGACTACTCACAAATTTTGGGTCCCTATATATTTGGGTATTCTAGATATTTAAAATAAGTAGGCTCATATCATATTTCTCTTTTTGTGACTGACTTGTTTCACTCAGCATGTTATTTTCAAGACTCGTCTGTATAGTAGATTTTACCAGAATGTCCTTTCTACTGTATCTATAGACCATCTTATTTTTATTCATTCATCTGTTGATGGGCATTGAAGTAAGTGTTTTACACCATTTGGAATATACTGTGTTTTAATATCACTTGAGATGTTTTCTCCATGTGGGATCATGCTACCCACTTGATATTTCTATTGGTTCATTTGTTGTCACGTTGTAGGGATTGCTGTTTTCGTTTTAAATATTTTACACCACTTGGAATATACTGTGTTTTAATATCACTTGAGATGTGGGATCATGCTACCCACTTGATATTGTTATTGGTTCATTTGTTGTCCCGTTGTAGGGATTGCTGTTTACGTTTTAATAATGTAGAAAATCCTTCCACAGCCAGAACAATCTAGTAAGGTGCGGCTTCACTCTGCTTCCCTTCCTTACCCTGCAGGTCAACCATCATGATTCATTTTTCACTTATTCTCCCAATCCTTCTTTTTAAACATAGAAGTAGACACACACATTTCCCCACTTTCTTAGACAAAAGGCAACATGCGATTTCACATCCCTCCATACCAGTACATGTTTTCTTTTTACTGATGCACTGTGCAGATGGAGTTCTCCACTGTGTAGATGTATCACGGTTCATTCAACCTCCCCCTTAGCAATGAACATTTGGGATGTTGTCAGTCTTTTCCTTATAAACATAATATCCCCCTCAAAAATATGTGTCCATATATAATTGCATATTTTTTGCCAGTGTACCTTTGGGATTGATTCCTAGAATCAGAATTGCTAGGTCAAAAAGTAAATGTGAGAGACAAAATAATTGGCAGCTTCAGACTACCATATACTTCCTATTTTCATACTTTCTTTGCTTTTTATGACATGTCTTAGTCCTATAGACATAGCCTTGTCTTAGTGAATAAGCATTTTTGAAATCTGTGTCTGTGTCTAATCCTCACTGCTTTCCTCAGCAATGTTTAGTTGCTTAAGCTTTTAACCTGTATAAGCAAACATCCATGTATTTTAGTCTAAAGAGCTTTCCTCGATATGCATATTTTCCTTTGCTCAATATAAAAAATTTTACTGCCATGGAGTTGATTCTGACTCATAGTGATCCTACAGGACATGGTAGAACTGCCCCTGTGATTTCTACCTCTGCCTTTAAAGTGGACCAGAAATATATGTAAACTTTAGATATACAAATAGATTTTTAGCTTACCCTTATTTGTAGGTCCTAAACTAAGAACAATTAGTTCTTACCATGGGCCCTGCTCAATACTTGCCCTCATGAAGTGATCACTGAAGATATGGGCACTTTAGCAAAGTAGGGCAAAGAAATCAGATGGTGCCTGGCTATCAGAAAGAATAGTGTCAGGGGTCTGAAAGGTTTGTCAGCTAAGTGAGGTGTCAGCTAAGCTCACATGGAAGGAGTGTGTGATCTGAGCCTGTGTGATCCAAGGATTGTAAATAGTAAAATCCAAGATCAGTGCAGAGAATTGTGTTAGAGCTCAAATTCTGAGCACTCAATTTGCAGGAGGCTTTGATAGTTAAAGCCCAAAATCCATTTGCAGAGTCCTCACATACATTAGGTCTTCACTGAACTCCCTCAGACCATTGACTAGGGATGTGAATAGTCTTACCCTCGGCAGAGTGCATTGGAAAGTAGATTAGTACTGCAGATATAGTTAAGTTAAATAAAAAAAAACCACACATTTTATCAGGAGGTCTTACAGGTATTATTACAATCCATAGTTCCATTAAATCAAGCATAATTGTACAATTGCTGCCCTCATCTTTTTCAATACATTTTCTTTTCTTCTTGAACTCCTTGATATCAGCTCCCTGTTATCCCCTCTCTCCACCACCCTACCACCCCCCTGAACCCTCAGAATATTATATAGTAATATTATTTATTATTATTTTTTGCCTTAACTGACACCATCCCATGTATCCATTCTCCTTAAATTCTGATGTTTGTTCCCTTCGAGTGGGGTATACAGCCATCACAGCTCTCTGCCCCCTTCTCCCCTTTCCCTTCTTTGCCCTCTCTCCGCTGTGCCCGCAGGGAGTCAATACTCCCCTTACTGTCTCTGAGGGGATGCTCTATCTCGAATTTAGTGTATTGAAAGATCTTGGCTGCACCCATGTACATACACAGGACTAGCAAGATTAGTGAGGTGAATCTAGGACCGTAATAGTGGGAGGAGGAACTTTTAAAGAACTGGAGGGTAGTTGTGTGTTCCATCAGTGCAATAGTGAACCCTGGATATATCATCCCTTCCATGTGGCCCTTCTGTGAGGGGCTGTCCAGTTGCCTTACAGATGGGCTTTGGGTCTCCACCTTGCCTATGTTCCTTCACATCTCTTTGATTGCTTGATTTTGAACTTCTGATACCTTTTCCCATTGACACCTCATGATCATATAGGCTGGTGTGCTTCTTCCATGTGGGCTGTATTCCTTCCTTGCTAGATGGCTGCTTGTTTGACTTTAAGTCTTTAAGACCCCAGATGCTTATCTTTTAACAGCTGGACACCATCAGCTTTCTTCACCACATTTCTTTATGTACCTATTTTGTCTTCAGTGACCATGTAGGGAAGATGAGTATCCTACATTGCCACATTATTAAAACAAACCATTTTTCCACTGGAGTAGGATTTAAATAGGGGTCCAAATTTCATCTACTTCCCTATTATACTTAATTAAATATACATACCTAGAAAAATACACCTATCTTTTTATATACATATCTATAGTTATACCTATATATATAATTTTGTTTAATTTGATTTTTCCTTTTGACCCATTTTAAATTTGTACTAGTTCTATTATCTTTCTTTCTTTTTTAAAAAATTAACTTTATTGGGGGCTCATACAACTATTATCACAATCCATACGCTCATCCATTGTGTCAGGCATATTTGTACATTTGTTGCCATCATCATTTTCAAAATATTTTCTTTCTACTTGAGCCCTTGGTATCAGCTCCTCATTTTACCCCTCCTTCCCTCACCAACTGTACACCTCACGAACCCTTGATAATTTATAAATTATTCTTCTTTTTTCATGTCTTCTATTATCTTTATTTTGGATTGAGGTTGTGCTGTTTTTTATCTTATTGTCATTGTTGGAGCTGCTTGTCTGGTTTCTTTTTGTGAAATCCAGCAGAGCTAAAACTATAGAGATAACTGGATTAATAGTGCCTAAGGGTTATGGCAGGGGAGGTCATGAGTAATGGAGAACTAACAAAAGTGGGTACAAGAATGAAGAGCATGGGTTGTGGTGATGGTTGCACAACTCTTTTTAATATATTTAAACCACTGACTTTTATGTTATATGAATGATACACTAACAAAACTGTTAAACCAAAAGTAAGTTTAAAAAAATACTCAATGAATGTTCTCTTTAAATTATATGTGTGTGTGTATGTGTGTGTATATGCTTACAGGTGTGCACACAGATATGTGTGTGTACACAGATGTGTGTGTGCACAGATGTGTGTGTGTGAGAGAGAGAGAGAGAAAGAGAGAGAGCATGTGCACAATTTGTGTCTGGAGCTGTTTTAAATGAGACCTAATTCAAGACATCTTTTTCAAGGAACAAAACAATCTTATTAAAAAGAATGGGTGCAAATGCCCAGGTGGAATTGTAAACAGCTTGCTAAGGAAGATGCAGTATTCACGTTAGAGACCACTACCAAAACCAGAAGGAAAATGGCTAAGTTCAGAAAACACCCCCTGGACAGTCAACCTTAAATCCCTGCCATAGACAGAACAAACCAATGCCTGATTACACTACTGCCAGCTGAGTAAGCCCTGCGTAACTGTACGTTCTGACATTTAGTTTGAACAAATTTGCCTTTTCCATCACTTACTGATGCTGGTGGCCTTGATCATGGGAAATGTAACTGATATCTCTAAGCCACGTTTGGGGATGTATAACAGGGATCATCACAGGGCAAAAGTGAGCAGTGCCCATCCTGACAAGCTTTATGAATGGTCTCTTCAAAAGGTGTGGCTGGCAGCAACACTCTAATGACATTTCCATGTACATCCTAAGGAATTGGGTGAAGTCCGAGTGTGGGGCATGAACAGAGATGTCCATGGATTTCTTGACAGAATCAAAGGGCTTACTTACGAGTCCAGTTCTTTGCGGATGCCACTCACATTGAGGTCGAGGCAGATCTTGTTGAGGATGTCTTTCGGCTGAACGGCCCCAAGGCTGATGTAGGTGGTGTTCCTGTTCTTCATGATAGCGCTGGCCGCAACACAGGGGATGTCGAGGAAGGGAGACAGGGACATGATGATGAAGATGGAGACAGTTCGGATCAGCTTCTCCAAAAAGTTCCACGAGGCTGAGTCTACAAACTGGGCCTCGTCAATGATGAAAATAATCCTTTCTTCTTTCACTGTCTGCGCAAGGTGGAGAAACAGAAAGGAACGTGTCATAGGTGGCGTCTAATTTTTATATGTGTGCGTGAGCACGCAGGAGAGCCTGGGTGGGACAAGCAGTTTGTCATCAGCCGGCAACCTCAATGTTGGCAGTTCAAATTCACATAGCAGCTCCACGGGAGAAAGGCCTGGTGAACTGCTTCTGTAAAGGACTGCAGACAAGAAAATCCCGTGGAGCAGTTCTACTCTGTAACACATGGGCTCACCTTAAGTTGGGGTCATCTCAACGGCAGCTAACAGCATCAGCATGGTATGGCCGTGTGTCAATTGAGCTTTTGGTGTGGGTGCAATGACGGGGAAAGGACCAGCCATCTTTTTGTTTGTTTGTTTGTTTGTTTGTTTGTTTGTTTTTTAATCATTTAATTAGGGGCTCATACAACTCTCATCACAATCCACCCATACATCAATTGTGTAAAGTGCATCTGTACATTTAGTTCCCTCATCATTCCCAAAACAGTTCCTCTCCACTCAAGCCCCCGACACCAGGTCCTCATTTTCCCCCTCCCTCCCTGCTCCCCCCTCCCCCATGTGCCCTTGATAATCCATAAATTGTTATTATTTTGTTATATCTTGCCCTGTCCGACGTCTCCCTCCACCCACTCCTCGGTTGTCCATCCCCCAGGGAGGAGGTCACATATAGTTCCCTGTAATTGGTTCCCTCTTTCCTACCCACTCTCCCTCTACCCTCCTAGTATGGCCACTCACACCAGGGACCAGCCATCTTAACCCGTTTTTCTTCCCAATGACTTTGTGTTCGTTTAGATTCCATTTATGTGGGATGGGTATCAGTTTGAACAAAGCTTGGTTGGAATGGACCCTTGCTTGGTATTTCATGAAGGCAGTGAAGGGTATCTAACTATTATCTTTGTATAAAGATAATGCATATTTATACTTATAGATGGGGCTACAGGAGAATACCCATAAAAGCCGATCAAAATGCCCATCTCATAAAATAACTGATATGCTAACTATAAGCCATTTGAATTCATTGGCTAATGAAGACCTCCTGAACATGTATTTGACCAATATATAATTCAGCGGCTACTTCCTAAGCACCCTGAGCACCCACTGAGCTAAGTGCTGAATGTGTGGTCGTCAATAAAGGGGATCCAGTCGCGGCTTGGCTAGCCCTTAAGGCTACTCTAGTTCAAACTATGGTGTATGTTACAAATAGATCTGAGATCCCTTTTGTTGTGTAGCCTACCCTCGCTAACTAGTCTGAATTATTTATTCATTCATTAAGCATGTATTGCCAGGCACTGTCGTAGGTGCTGGGGCTACAGTACTAAACAAGATGTGGAGCTTACATTGTGTAACATCAAACCTCTCACAGTGGGTCCCATATTTCCAGTGCCTCGTCTAAATGTAGAGAACCTTCGCCCTACTCTCAGCCTCGGACAACTCAGCTTCTTTTAGCTGCCCGTGAGAAGAGATGGGACCAATCCACTCTTTTCCCTTATGTTTTTATAACCAAAATGTGATTTTTATATTTAAATGTTAAAATGTCAAACCATCTTTATCAAGTGTTATATCCTGCCTTATGACATATCCCCAACATAGCCTGTAGAGATTAGCCCATCACTGGCTCTGAGCATTTTACTTCATCGAGAGATTTGCATTCAATTTTTTAAAATTATTTTATTGGGGGCTCGTATAATTCTTATCACAATCCATACATACATCCATTGTGTCAAGCACATATGTACATTTGTTGCCCTCATCATTCTCAAAACATTTGCCTTCTACTTTAGCCCTTAATATCAGTTGTTCATTTTCGCCCTCCCTCCACCCTCTCTCATGAACCCTTCATAATTTATAAAGTATTATAGTTTTGTCATAAGTTACACTGTCCAACGTCTCCCTCTGCCCTCTTCTCTGCTGTCCATCCCCCAGGGAGGAAGCAATGCCTAGATTCTTGTAATTGGTTCCCCCCTTCTTCACCCTCCAGGCCTTGCCCCTCTCACCACTGGTCCTGAAGGAGTCATCTATCCTGGATTCCCTGTGTTTCCAGTTGCTATCTGTACCAATGTATGTCCTCTGGTCTAGCCAGATTTGTAAGGCAGACTTGGGATCATGATAGTGGGAGGGAGAAAGCATTCAAGAACTAGAGGAAAGTTATATGTTTCATCGTTGCTACCCTGCACCCTGATTGGTTCGCATTCCATTTGTAAAAGATGAGGCTGATGGAAAAGTGAGTTTCCGTCATACGACAGCCTGACCAGTGAATGACTTGTAAACGGAGGGCACAAAAGTGAAAACAGAAACCAAAGACATGAATTGCACATCGGTTGTGCTTTGTTGGCCCTGGCTTCCTGAGCTTTAAGATGAGGAGACTGAAGTGGGTTCTCTCAAATGTCAACAAAGCCAATGGTCTCCGTGGTATCAGTATGCTGATGTTTACACATGTCAACTCGCGTAGTCCTCCCAAGTTCAGCAGGAGGTGGTGCATTTAAACCACGTGCTGAGAAAAGTTAGACGACTAAGGTTAGGTAACTTGCGTCAAAACCTAACCGAGAACCTTGAAAACAAAGGCCTGTAATGCTAAGTGGATTGACAGGCCCAGCTTGAGCCCTGCTGTAGCACACACGTAGGAGTGGAATGCATAAGTCCATTCTTTTAAAATAAGCTCCCTAGATAAGTGAGATGAAAGCAGTCCAAAACGTGACATTTAGAAACTACTGATGCTGCCTTCACAGTGACGCCATAGCGCAGAGTAGAACTGTAAATCCTTCCAGGTGTAGAAAACCTCATCTTTCTCCTGAGGTGACCTCGAACTGCTGACTTTGAGATTAATAGTTCAACACGTAGCTCACTGCAGGGTCCTTGTGAGTCAGAATCGATTCGATGGCAGTGAATTTGAGAGGGTGTGTGTGTGTGTGTGTGTGTGTGTGTGTGTGTGTGAGTCCCTGAGAAGAGGAGGATTGTATTATGACCTTGTACTAAACGTTTACTTAGGGCAGACACTCTACCAATCGGTAGTGATACAAAGATGAATTTTTATGGCTGCTTTCCTCAAGTGCTGACCGTTTGAGGGCGTCACGTTCACCAGTAGGAATATAGTGTGTGGAGTCTAATAAGAACTATCCAAAGTGTCACTGAAGCCCAAGGAAGCAGAATGAGCCCGGTGGTTTAAGGAAAGGAGCCCTGGCAGCATTGTCAGTTAGCGTTAGACTGCCAACTGCACGTCCAACCCTCCGGCTGTTCCACGGGAGAAAGATAAGCCCGTCATGCGCCCATCAAGATCTATGGCCTTTGAACTCTGGATCGCCTTTGAACTCTCGATCGGTTGTTGTGCATTGGACTTGACTCAAAGTCGGTTGGCTTGGTTTGGTTTGATTTCGTGGTTGGGGACGATTTCACTAAACAGACGACATCACAGACATGAGTAAATTGTATTTTTTCTAGGAATAGTAAGTCTTTTGGTTTTGTATCTCATTAACACTGGGGACAAGAATGACTTTAGACTTTCAATAGGAACTTTGGAAGTTAGAAAGCAGTGGATCAATGCTTTCACAAATCCAAAGGAAACATTCCCCGGCTTCTAGAGAGAGCAGCGAGAGAGGTGTCTTACAAAGGCTCCATAGGCAGAGTGGCCTTAGACTTTTCATATACCAAGTATAATATATATGAGTTGTTGTTCACCAGCCAGTTTTGCTTTACATAGAATTATCAAACTTGTTTTCAGAACTGATTTTTTTCTTCTTCTTTAAATTCCTTTTGTGAGTTAGCCCAAGTTAAATGTCATTTAAACATTTAGCTAACCACTGTGGGACAGCTGAGTTTTCAGGGGAACAAGTAAGATGAATTACAGAATCAATGACCCTTGGAACTGGATGAGACTTTAGAGCAGCAGTTCTCAACCTGTGGGTCGTGACCCCTTTGGGGGTCGAACAATCCTTTCACAGGGATCTCCCAATTCATCACAGTAGCAAAATGACAGTGATGAAGTAGCAACAAAAGTAACTGTGTGGTTGGGAGCCACCACAACACGAGGAACTGTATGAAAGGGTCGCGGCATTAGAAAGGTTTGAGACCCACTGCCTTAGAGGCAGGTTATGTAGTCTAGTGGCCTTATGACAGCAAGAACATTTTTCCAACACTAACTTGAGCTAGTGACGTGGACAGAGATTTCAAAAGTCCCTGCTCATTATCGCACAACCTAGAGGCACCAACCAGTGCCAGGGACCAAACCTCAGCTACCACCTGATTGTGGTCCTAGCGGAGCTTCCTCACTGCACTGCCACACAGGAAATAGCTCATTGTGGAATACCTGAGCCTACAAGTTTCTCCCTTCTCATACTTTTCCTAAAGCTCCACTGAGGGTCTGAGCAAGTGAGAGTTGTTTTTTTCAATCTGATGGACAGTGATACACCCCTCCCTAACCATTCCTTGGGTCCTAATTATTTTTACTCTTGGAAAAAGCTCATTCTTGGAAAAGGCAGTTCGCTATATAGAACTGAGCTGGTTTGGGGAAAAGTCTAACTCCCAGAAGAAAAGTGAAGAGCCCCCTTCAAGCCTGAATATCTAAATTCTGAACAGATTCTTGGTGTGGTGTTTGGAAGGGAGACAGATGAAGCCCTTTAGGATGAAACTTAGACATACTTCAAGGCTCCTTGCCAATGGAGTCTGAGCCCCTGGGCCCCCTGGCTTTGTGGTGAAATGTCCAAATCTTCCTGTCCCTCCATCTTGTACCCCAACTCCCATTCTCAACCCACAGCAGCTCTTACTTGCTCCAAGATCTTCATAAATAATGCTTCCAGTTGCTTTTGCCTTTTCAAGAAACTCAGCTTAGAGGCCTCCCGTGAAATGGGAAACTGTAAAGAGAATTAAGAGACCACTGAATATGAAAACATAATAAAGGCACCTGCTGACTGGGTAACTTTGGACAGGTCACTTTACTGATCTGTGCCATTTCCTGTGAGTGGGATGTGTAATCTACAACTTCCCTTGAGGCTCTGACGCCCCGTCATTGTAGCCAGTATGAGCAGGAAAACCAGGTCACGGTCTGTACTGGGAATGGCTGCCAATGGTGGGAAGGCGAGAAAAAAATGAACCAGTGGGTGGCCAGTGAGATTTTCTTGGGTATGGTGTTTCTAGAGAACTCCAATGTGCGTGAGTTAGTTTATTGTGCCAACCTGGCGGATGAACACATGTGGGATTAATTGAAGGGTGGAGGGATAAATGGCTCGGTGAGCCTTGCCTTTCGAGTTCTCAGGTCTCTTGCTTGTGATGGTCGCACCAGGGTGCAGCTGCCTTAACCAGTTCCCCGCTTCATCTGGCAAGGCTCACTTCCTGCAAGACATCCCTCAGGAGAAGCAGCATGGACCTACCCCGATGCAGCCCTGGGTGCTGGAGCAGCCCCTGCCAGTGCTGAGATGCTTACACATTCACTGATCCAGCTTTCCTCCTGCAGTCGGCATCATTGTGTGTGTTTTGTGAGATGGAGGAGGACTTTGTGGACTGGTGTTGGACATATGGGTTAATGGGTTAATGTTGGACTTGTGGGCTTGGGTAGCACTGGGTTGGGATATTTTCTTGATGTGCACTTAACCTTTATATAAAACTCTCTCTTATACATATGCGTTTCTGTGGATTTGTTTCTCTAAAGGACCCAGACGAATACAGTGTGTCCAGAGGTGGATGTGCTCTCTGGGAGAACGGGGGGTGGGTGGTGGTGGTGGGGTGGGTGGGTGCCATCTCCTTGACACCTGGATGCTCCAGATGAGAAAAGAACAATAAAAGACAGAGGTGCTGTTGTATGGCGTCAGGCAGGAGTCCCTGCCCCTCCTACCCTCTACCCCATCGCTATTTCGTGGAGAATTTGAGCTACCTGAACATGGAAAATTTCATTGAGGAGACAGTAGAACTTTTCATCCAACAGCCTGTTGACTTTATTCTGGAGGTTGGTCTGCCGTTCCTTATAGTGTTTGCACGTGTCCAAACCCAGCACACTTGCCATGAGTATCTGGATGGTGTAAAAATTTTGATGGAAGTTGACCTTGGTCAAGGTGATAGCAATAGTCCTGTTTATAAGAAAGCGAGAGTCAGGAAAGAGAGATTCTCATAAGGTTATTTTGGGGACTAATGTTACAGGGGAGCTCAGACACGTCACATTTACTTGTAATGACAGATTTACCCAAACTACCTGCAAGTTCTTCTTTATTCCTGCTTCTGACATATTTCACATTCTACTAAATTCCTACCTCTGATGCTTGAACCTAGCTATGCCCTCACCTCTAGTCCCACCCCCTCTGCCCTGGTTCAGGTCCTCAGATTCTTAACTATACGACTGCCAAATAGCACGCTGTGGACTCTGCCTAAACGTGAAGGGTCTCATTAAATAGGAATCTTCTCATATTACTCTCCTGCTTAAACAAAGTTTCATTGGCCCCTATTGCTGAGACACAAGTCCATGGTCCTCATTGTGACCTACTGGATTCTCCATGGCCTCCACCTGCCTTTCCTCACCATCTCTCTGACTAGCAATCAGCGAGGGCAGACTGGTGAGAATGCCCTACACAGGTGGAACTCCCTCCTCCCCATGCCTTTGTTCCTGCTGCTCCTCAGCCTGGAACCATATCACGGTCTGCAGTGCCGGCCTCATCCTCCATGGCCTGCTCCTCCCTAAATCTCAGAGCGGTCTTTTGGAAGCCTGCCATCTTGGGTTGGGTCACATATCCCTCCCTCTCTGGGCTTCTGTTAGACCCTATTGCGTATGTCTGACATTGCCCTCCCCATATTCTCTTTGTACTGTTCCCTCTCTTTCTTGCCTCCTCTGCTGTGAAAGCTCTTGAGGGCAAGGAGCAGGTGTTCATTTGGGGGACTTTTGCACTTAACAGTTCCTGGGAAGTAATTGCTACTTATTAAGTGAATGAATGAATGAATGCATGCATGCATCTCTTCTGGCTGTTGTAAATCATCCCCTCAGAAATGTTTGATTTGTTAGAGCTGGTTTTTCTTAGGCCTAACATTAAGAAAAAGAGTAGAAATACAGCTAAAAAATACACAAGGTTAGGAATGAGCATTTATTTTCCCCTTATAACCTTCAGGTTAATGGTGAAAGAGTGTGTGGAGCCATCATCTTTGTTTTGATCATCATTACTGTTATTGATGACCATAATATTTACGCTTGTGGGATGCTAGATGGATTATCTCAAAGGAGAGCACCGTGACATTCTTTGCATGACAACAGATAAATAACCCAACTGAAAAACTTTAGGAGTCCCTGAGCAGTGCACATGATTAACACGCCTGGCTATTTACTTAAAGGTTGGACGTTTGCGTCCACTCAGAGCTGAGTGGGAAGGTGACTTGGTGGTCAATCATTGAAGCCCGATGGAGCACAGTTCTACTTTAACATACCTGGGGCCACCATGAATCCAAGTTGATGGAAAGGGAACTAGTTTGGGGTATAAGATACATTAGTCCAGATCACAAGGCCTATCATCCAGAGGAAGATCCAGAAGCCCAGATTCTCTATCTGCACTCTCAGGAGTAAATGGCTGAAACCATTGGTTCCATATGCTGCTGCATGGATACTTTTTTTTTTTTTGGCTTTACAGACCCAATTTTTGCCTGGGTCCCAGCATCAAGGTCAGGCATTCTCAAGTTGTCTATATTAGGATCACTTAGGAAGTTTTCAAAAACCTATTACCAAAAAAAATCCTACCTAGCATTCAATCAGAGCCTTCAGAAAGAGCTTGGCTTCTGTTTTTGTTCTTCATATGTGTATCACTATGTATTTGATACAATGACCATGGCATGCATTGATTGATACAGTTGAGGATAGTTTACACAGTACAAATCATATAAATGACAGGCGTGTGAAGTGACACTCTTTTCTGAAGACTGCCCCTTTCCCTAGGCTGACAAGAAAGGGTTATTAGAAGACACTCACCTGTGGTTCTCACCTTGGGCCAGGTAATCGATTTCCATAAGTATCTGGCTTTTTCCATAGCCTGATAATCCTTCATACATCAGGATTCGGCTACAATTACACAGCAAATATTCCTTCATAATGCACATGAAGTATTTGATCTCCTTATCACGTCCTGTTATTTTTGTTTTTTAAAAAGGGAGCAAATCCAATCAACATAATATGGTCTAGAGATATTTAGTGATGTCTCTAAAGAGAGAGATATCAACACACACACATGCATAGTGACGCCCTTTTATGACCACTCTTGGACTCCCCGAGCATGGATCACTGACTTTCTCAGGACCTTGTGCTCTTTAAATTGGGGAGAAAAAAAGCTTTCTTTAGCACTTTGCAGTTAATAATGCACCTTCATCGTTTTACCTGATTTTCACTAGTTGCGAGGGAAAGAATTATTATAACTCATTAAAATGTTCATATAATCATAGTGCAAAAAATAGATGTTTGGATTGCACAACCGAGAATTAAATTAGGGTTATCTGATCCTCCAGTTGGTTTTTCTTTATTTCTACAACACACTAGTATTAAACTGCAGATTATTATATATTGAAATAAATTCATTCAAATTAAGTATCTATAGTGGACAATTTAGGCATAGCTTATTTTTTATTCAGATTCTGTGATGAAGGAAACTTGTCCTCTATAAATGAACTATTACACCACCTCAGGTGTACTAGAAGGATGTGGAGTGATTAGAAGAAAACTTGATAGCATCTAAAAATAAAGTAAAAATACTTGTCAGTATCACACTGACCACCCATGTCCTCGGTGGAAATAAGCTTCAGTTGTTTTGCCGTGGTGGGTCTTTTTTCTTTCTTATTACAAAAATAACATGTGCTCAATGTAGAAGACATGCCCATTGTAGACAAGGAAAATACAAGTCACCTTACTGCCTCCCTCTCACTTTTCCTTTCTTTTTTTCTTATGGGATTTAAATATATGTAACAGGATGCCCTGGCTGACATTTGACAACAAACTGTACCCTCTTGGAAGCATGGGAGGGCAGGAAATAAATTGGAAGACCTGTAATTCAAAGCAGTGAGCAATTTCTATCAAAAGAGTTGGAGCCTCATTTGGGGCAGACTGTGCACGTGTGGAGAAGGCATTGAAGAGCACCTTTATGAAATACCTCGGTGAGAGCAAATACATACCCAGGGATTACCTAATGTCTTTGTTGAAAATCAGGGTCATTAATTCCAAGGGTAGCTATTTTGACTCAAACGCCAACAGGACACAGTTCATTATAGTTTATTGTTAGCTACGTTGTTAATTCCAAAACATTAAGCCCACTGCCCTTGAGTCAAATCCAAATCACAGTGACCCTGTAGGACAGGATAGAGCTGCCTCATAAAGTTTGAAAGGCCCGGAATCTCCATGGAGGCAGACTGCCACATGGATCTCCTGAGGAGTAGCTGGTGAGTTTGAACCAATGACCTTCTGGTTAGCAGTTGAGCACTTTACAACCACGCCATCAAAACCAAAACCAAACTCACTGCCATCCAGACACTGCTGACTCAGAGCAACCCCCTGTGGGTTTTCTGAGACGGTAACTGTTTACGGGAGTGGAAAGCCCAGTCTTTCTCCCACTGAGCTGCTGGTGGTTTCGAACTGCTGACCATATGGATCAGCACCCAACGTGTAACCACCACACCCCCAGGGCTCTTGACCACACCCCCAGGAGTCCTTATATTGTTAATTAGCTTATATGGATTTTTATTTATAGGTGTTCTCACAAAAGAAGGGCATATTGCTCATACTGTTAACTTCCGTCAGCCTGATTTTTAGCTATTGCTTTAAGGGAATATGCGTAAGTCTAATATCCATTTCATCGTACTGGAAGAACCCAGGTAAAAAGGCACTAAGACTAGATTCTGAGCAATCTATGCTTTCTTGTACCAACGGGATGATACGACTGTCATACTAGGTCTGTATGCAAGAGGTTAGGACTTCCACATACTGTCAATCACTGTCACCCACACATCCTGGGAAGGAAGCGAAGGCCTAAGATAAGAGTGTGAGTGGGCCTTCCTTTTCCTCAGGGGTGTGGGGATTTGGACTTCAATGAGAGATTTGCTTGAAGATCTGAAAACCACCGGATGCAGTGAAAGTGGAGGTGCCCCTGGCTGAGGTGCCCCTGGCAGTTCGGGAGCTGTCATCTTGCTTTAGATTCTGTTGACACCAAGATTTGGAGGCAGTGTTGGTCCCAAGAATAGAACAGAGCCTTCTCTTCACTGACCTAAGCGGGCTATGACTGGGCTTTAGCTTGGGGTGAAATGCTCAGGGATGTTTGGGTCTAAGAATGGGAAACATAAAGGGCCACTAGAAATGGCTGTCCCCACAGTCCACAGACCATCCTCATGCCTGCCTCCCTGCCTCCTCTGAGGTCTATATCTCTAACTAGCTACAAGTTAGATTTTTTTTTTTTTATGATAGACTCTCCCTCTGAATCACAAAAGCACCAATTCCAGTTGGGTTACAAATTAAAATGTCGAAGGCAAAACAATAGCATTTCTGGACAAGAACACAGATAACTACCTTCATGGCTTTTTACTGAGCAAAATGTGTGAAATGAGACTCAAAAGCTCTTCACTATAAAATATACAAACTACAACAAAACCAAAACACCTCACCTCCACTGAGTTGATTTGGACACACAGCAAGCCTATAGGACAGAGTAGAATTGTCCTTGTGAGTTTCCGAGAAAGGAGAGGATGAATAAGTTGAACTCATTAAAATTAAGAACCTGTATTCATTAACAAAACAATTCACACAGTGTAATAGGAAGCACAGTGGGAAAAGTTATGCACGGTATAAACAAATGACAATGGATCGATTTCCAGAAGATATAAATAATCCTGACATATCTGTAATAAAAATACAACCAGATTGACAATGAAAATAGACCAAAGAATGTATAGCCATTTTACAAAAGAAGGTGCCCAAATGAGCAGTAAACATCGGGGAAAGAACCCAAGCAGAGCAGAGGAGGCCAAATGGAAACCATGACGAGATAGCTCTACATACCAACAAAAATACGAAAATTGTAGAAACCGATCAAGCCATGTTGTTGGTTAAAATGAGGAGCAACTGGACCTCTTACAATATAAATAAATGCAATCATTTTGGAAACTTGTTTGGTGTCATCTACAAAGTTGTGCACGTTCCAACAATTCCATGCGTACATATATATATTATATAGATGCTCAACAGAATACATACATATATTCAACAGAAATGTGCAGATGGGTCACCCGATGATCAAGATGCACCAGGATGTTTACAGAAGGATTACTCATAAGAACCCCAAACTGGAATGAGCTCAGATGTTGCGCACAACGATAATAATGAACTTTCTGAGTATTTATAAAATGTACACTACATAGCAATGAAAGTGAATAAATTATAGCTCCACCCAATAACATAGATGAGTCTTTTACCCTGGTGTTCATCCAGTACGAGAAGGCAAATGCACGTCATTACAAGTGTCTGAGTGCGTCCGTGGAAGTTTGAAAGCAGACCGAAGTGAATCTAGGGGGTGGGCGTCTGCGAGGCACAGGAGAAGGAAGAGCAGGGGGAGTTTTGAGCCAATCGTCTTGTTTTGTTCTTGGCCTGTCCGGCGTTAATTCGTCAAACCTCACACTTGTCATGTGTGTGCTTTTCTGTGTGCTTTGTTATAGTTCAATAAAGAGGTTTAAAAAGCCAGGCCCCTTCTACCTACCCAGCAAAGGGTAACCCTCATTTCTGTTGCAGTTGAGGTTCGCCAAACCAAACATGCTGAAGAGGAGAAGAAAAGAAAAGAAGGTGTTAGATTCAAAACAAGGGACTATCGAAGCCATGAGTGACTAGTTCTTAGTTTCCAGAAAGCTTGCTTTACTCTCTAACAAGTGTCCCTGACTCACAGGTCGAGATCTCGAGAGAAAGAAGAGGCACGGTTGTTACTTGGCAATAGAGAATCCAGACAGCGTGTGCTGCTGCCCTTACCACAGTACCAGGCACATTGGTCAATAAATGGTTGTTGAGCCTACATAGGAGCCCTGGTGGCATAGTGGTTATGGGTTGGGCTACACTCCCCATGGTCAGCGGTTCAAAAACACTAGCGGCTCTGTGAAAGACCTGGGCGTTCTACTCCCGTAAACATCTCAGAAACCCACATGGGGCCACTATGAGTCAGCATTGACTCAATGGCAGTGAGTTTGGTTTTTGTTTTGTTCTGAGTCTACATTGGTAGGACTAGCCCCTTCCAAGGGAGACCCGACAGACTTGGATGTGGGGCAGGAAACTTTCTACCAATTGCTCAAACAATAATAGTTCACCTTTGTAGTACATAGGTAGATACAGATGCTACACATTTGACACAATTACAAGCGTTTGTATGTATCATTTTCTTCAATGCAGACCAAAAACCCCTTTGAAGAAGGTACTATTATCATGATGTCCAAATGAAGAAATTGAGGCACAGCTTAACTTGTCCCAGATCCACGATTCGTGGTGACACAAGACACCACAGGGTCAGGAGCTCAACTTAGGACAGGGTACATCCAACTTGTCCACTACATAACATTAGCTCTCAAAGGATCATTTTAGTCAGAACAAATTTTTCTCTTCTCTGTAAACCCAAACCAGACCCATTACTGTCCAATGAATTTTGACTCAAAAAGGCCTTAGAGAACAGAGCAGCACTGCTTGCCGAGGGTTTTCAAGGCTACGTGTCCTTACAGAGCTGGCCTGCCACACCTTCTCCCATGGTGCACTTGGATGCGCTCCAATCGGCTTCCTACTGGTGAGCAACCAAATGTTAAACACTGCGCCACCAGGGACCCTTTCTTTTTCTACATGTTCACACAATTTTCTGATGCCTCTGGGCAGCACATATTGAGGTACTGAGCTCTCTCGTGTAATATTGAGTATATAATTTTGTAGATGTGGGTCTTTCCCATGAGAATGGGAACTTTCAGAACAGGAAGCAGACTTCATCCACGATTGTATCTGCATTTCTACTCTATATCTGCAGATATGGTTGCGGAAACCAGGTAGAGTGCAGATGCTGGGATTGAATAGTCTTGGTTCTGTGTTGAATACATGAATGGCTCCAGTTTTTCACCCCCAATTGTATCTATTTCTTTATTATGTAACTATGCCCTGCCCTCCCACTTGTGAATTACTTCAGCCAATGGGGTGCAGCCACACAGGAAGAGGCTTGAAAACCAGTGGGTGAGTAGTGGGGCTTGCTCCCTCTTACTCTTCAGATTGTTCATGCCAACATGCCTGGGTGAGCTGGCTGGAGGAGAGCCAAACTAAGTTGATTATGTCAGTCGAACTGCTTCAGTTATTCCAACTGAGGTTACCCTGTAACTGAAGTCACTCTAACAACCCCATGACACATGAATGATCCCAGCCAAGGTCAGCCAAATACAGACAAGGTCAGATGATTCCCTACATATTCATGAAGCCAGTTAATGCTTGTCCTACACCACAAAGATTTTATAGTTGTTATAATTCAGCATAACTATGGCAGTTTCAAACCTGACTCCATTGCTTATGAGGAGAGTACAGACAACTTACTTAACATCTCCAAGCCTCAGTTTGTAAATCTTTGGTGACCACGGTACCTATAGTGACCACCTACATTTTATGCCTCTGGGATTTAGTGGGAAGCTGCTATCCCACTTTTAGTGGATACAGTCATCTGGTGGGGGGCTTGTATAACTGCATGAATAGGAAGAAATAGTCCTCATCACATATTACTAACCCCAGCACCGGAACCCTTCTGGGAACATAAGTATCTTGCTAATTGTATCAAAATCCATATTACGTCAACAACATTTTTCTATTTTATTAAAAATGCCTTCATTACTGAAAACATGCTTCAAGAAAAAATGTAAAGCAGAAAATAACTGGGTCTTGAGCGGGTTAAATCTATACAATGGAGAGCATGGTTTCCAGCTCATCAACTTGATATTGAGAGTAAGTTATATATTTTGAGACAAAGTGTCTAGCAGTAAGTGTTCACTCAAATGATTATTATCTGTTCATTTATTCTAATAACATTTATTGGTGACTTCCTTCTACCAAGTACAATTTTCTAAGCTCTAGGAATACAAGGATGAATAGTAATAGAGACTTCTTGAATCACCCACAGCCATCTTCTATTGTCTGACCCTTGCAAACCAAGAGCCTAGCTTGATGATTAAAGAATAATGTCTTTCTACTTTCAAGTTATTAATTCATTTGTTTAGCCATCATTCTTGAGTGTCTACTATGTGTCAACGGTTGGGTGTGTAAGGATGAACAAGAAATAGTAAGAATCTTCAAGGAACTCACAGTGTAGTGAGTGAAAAGCTTTTCAAGTCAATGATTATGATGTAATCGGGTGATAAGTGCTCTAGTAGAGGCATATGCTATGGAGTTAAGTAGAAGAGGAAAGAGATAAACTGTCTGAGCTGGGACAAGAATAGATCCTGAAGCTGACTTTCAAAAACTGACTATGGTTTTCCTTGGGGGCTGGAGGTGGTGAGGCCAATCCGCATCGGCATCCCAGAGGTGAGGAGGTTGGAAAGGCAGAAGGTTGCACTGTCTGGCATTGCCAGGAGTTAAAACATTATCATGAAAATGACTGGAAGACAGTGACAAATTTTAAACCTCAAAGGAATGCCCATAACCCTACCCTGGGAACTTTGGGAATGCATCACACCAAGGACTCAGAGCAGGTATAATATCCTGTTCACCTTTATCCCTACCAATCCTGTGGGCACACAGCTGGCATGACTGGTAAATATTTCATGGTTCGTGATTGGGTATAACTAGATAAACAAAGCGGGGGCAAGGGGGCAGATTCTCTATTTTGCTTGAATAACTTTGCAGAATCATTCTCAGCACTGAGGGTGAAATGGGGTCTTCTACCACGCTACATATATATAGCTAAGTAGGATGGAGGAAAGATGAGATTTTGAAATTAAAATCTTGGTCTGAGGTAGGGAAAGAGATTTAAATATCAAGAATTGGCTTCAAGTCTGAATTGGGTGAACCAAATGCTTTACTACAATTTTCCCATTTCATCTTTATTAAAGAACTTGCAAAGGTAATGCACCACACTCACACTTTCTCATTAAGGCCCAAACACTGATAGACTGGTCCAGAATCCGCAACACCTTTCATAATTTTCTTTGGAAGCTCTTTAAAAAAGTAGGCTGGTAGGTTGCTGCTATTGTAGGTAACAGAATCACAGGTTACCATTCCTGGATAATACATCATCATTCTGGCGGCTATGTTGACCTTTTGACCAATGACTGTAGCAGGAAGGCAAAGAACAGAGAGAAAACAGCCAATGGGCTGAATGTTACATGAGGCAGGCTGTCCCCACATGGCATTTTACCCCTTTACTCTCTCTCTTGACTTCTCATGAATAACACACGTGTCTAGGCTTCAACTACCCACATTCAGCCAATGGTTATAAAATATTCAGTTGACTCAATTTTCAAAAAGAACCCCAACAACAACCCTCATTGCCATTAGTCAATGCTGACTCATAGTGAACCCACTGTGGGTTTCTGAGTCTATTAACTGTTTAGGGGAGTAGATGCCCAGTCTTGTCCGGAGGAGCTGCTGGTGGTTTCAAACAGCCAACCATGCAGATCACAGCCCAACTTATAACCAGTATACCACCAAGGCTCATGTTAAACCAAACTCATGGCCATCAAGTCAGTACTGACTCACAGCCACCCCACAGATTGGAGTAGAAGTTCCCTGTGGGTTTCTGAGACTGTAACTCTATATAGGAGTAGAAAGCCTCCTCTTTCTCCCTCGGAGCAGCTGGTGGTTTTGAACTGCTGATCTTGCAGTTAGCAGCCCAACTTATAACCACTACGCCACCAGTTTCCACCTCAACTGGGAGGCCAAGGAGGTGATTTATTCAACAATAGAAGGGTTCTGAATAAAGAGAGGGTCCCATACGTGGGCTGGCCACAGGTCTGAGGTCTCACAGATGAGGTGCAGCTGGTCTTCTGGTTCAAGGTGCAGAAGTATAAGCTTCATCTTGGGGTACTAACTCCCAGGTGAGGCACAGCCTCATCCTCACACACTCCCAACACTGCGTGAATTTTGAAGAAAAACCTCAGCTGTAGTATCATTTGAGACATAACAATCTCAGGATAGAGATACTTTTAGATGTGTTATGTCAAGATATCTTAAACCCTAATAGGATTGAAGAGGAATCAATAGCAAAAACAGTGAAATATTGAGATAACAGTTAGTTGTTCTTCTATTTTATATTAGTATTATTTTTTCATAATGTCAATATTAAAAACGTCTAAGAATCTGACATCATGTATTCCAAGAATTAACAGTGGTAATCGTCTAATGTGAACAGTAAATCATTGTAAAGGCCCCTCCTTCCCGGCTACTACTGCTTCCCTCCAATCATGACAGTTTTATATCCATGCCTATCCCCAGAAATGACCCCTTCACTCGCACTGAGCTGTGAATGGGTCAAACTGCATGGCGTGGTTGAATCGGGAAGAATGCAAACTTGCTGAGCATACAGCCCTTATCTTACTCATCTTTGCACTTCCTGCCACGGAGCCCAGGGGCAGGGCACTGTTTGTTGAGAGGAAAGCTGAGATCCAGTAGCTCAACACACCTGTGTATTCGTGTCTTACAGAGTGTCCGACAATTCCACAGAAGACAATCCCACTGGCAACCCCGATGGACACATTCCTGGCACCGAAGAGAAACAGGAGAATTGTGGGGAAAGGATGAAGATAATGAGCATAGAGAGTGGGACAGGGTGGGTGTAACAATGGTGAGTGAGTTCAGAAGGGGTGGGAAAGCATTTTTCAGTAAACAATTCTTTACTCTTTGAAGGTGCCCAAACCCAAACCCGAAACCACTCCCATCAAGTTGATTCCAACTCATGGTGTTGTTGTTCGGTGCTGTCCAGTGGGTTCCGACTCGTGTCAACCCCATGTACTACCGAACTAAACACTGCCCAGCCCTGCGCCCTGCTCACAGCCACTGCTCTGTTTGCGCCCACTGTGTCAGCTGCAGCCACTGTGTCAGTGCATCTGCTTGAGAGCCTTCCTCCTTTTCTCTGACCCTCTACTGTATCAAGCATGACGTCCTTCTCCAGGGACTGGTCTCTCCTGACAACAGGTCCAAAATACGTAAGACAAGGTCTCGCCATCCTTACCCCTAAGGAGTATTCTGGCTGAACTTCTTCTACAACAGATGTTTGGGGGGCGGGGGGGTTGGCAGTCCGGGGTATTTTCAACATTCTTTGGCAGCAGTGTAGTTCAAATGCATCGCTTCTTTCTCCGTCTTCCTTATTTAAAGTCCAACTTTCATATGCACGTGAAGCGATAGGAAATACTATGGTTTGGGTCAGGTACACGTTAATCCTCAAAGTAATATCCTTGCTTTACAGCACCTTAAAGAGGCCTTGTGCAGATTTACCTAAAGCAAGGCTTCATTTAATCTCTTGGCTGCTGCTTGCCTGAGCATTGACTGTAGTTTCAAACAAGAGGAAATCTTTGACAACTTCAAATGTTTGTCCTAATATGATGTTACCTATTGAACTGGTTGTGAGAATTTTGATCTTCTTTATATTGAGTTGTAATCCACACTGAAGGCTGCAATCGATATTCATCAGGTACTTCAAGTCCTCCTCACTTTCCGTAAGCAAGGTGGTGTCATCTACATATTGCACATTGTTAATAAGCCTTCCTCCAATCCTGATGCCTCATTCTTCTTCTTATAATCTAGTTTCTCTGATGATTTTCTCAGCATACTGATTAACAATGCATGGTGAGAGGATACAACCCTGCTGCACCTCTTGGTCCATGTCCAGGTATCCCATAAGCACAATGAAGTGTTCTGGAATTCCCATTCTTCTCAAGATTATCCATAGTTTGTTTTGATCCACATAGCCAAAGGAAACCCAATAAAACAGCCTCCTGATATTCTTTGCATTCAATCAAGATTCATCTGACATCAGCAATATATCCCTAATTCCACATCCTGTCCTGAATCCAACCTGAACCTCTTGGCACCTCCTTGTCAATAGACTGCTGCAACCATTGTTGAAAGATCTTCAGCAAAATTTTACTGACATGTGATATCAATAATACTGCTTTATAAATTGCTCAATCTGTTGGGTCACCTTTGCCATCTTCCAAATTTCCTGGCATCGACAAATGAGCGCTTCCAGTGCTTCATCGGTTTATTGAAACATCACGGTTGGTATTCCTTCAATTCTGAGAGCCTTGCTTTTGGCTAATGCTCTCAGCTTGGACTTTTTTTGTTCTTGCTCTTAGGCTAGCTCTTAACATGATTCAATGTTGACTAGTTCTCTTCGGGAAAGAAACTCTGCGTTCTTGCATTTTCTTCAGATGTTTCCTACTTTGCTTATATTTTGTCCATAGACTCTCAGCATTGCACCTTGAGGCTGGAGGTTTTTTTCTTGAGTTCTTTCCGTTTAAGAGATGCTGAGCATGCTCTTCCGGTCTGATTTTCTAACTCTAGGTCTTGGCATGTTTCATAATGTTTTTCTTTGTCTCCTAAGCTGCCCTTTGAAATTATCTGTTTAGTTCTTTGACTTTATTTCTTCCATTTACCTCAGCTACTCTGTGATTAAGAGCAAATTTTCAGTCTCTTCTGACATCCACTCTGTTCTTTTCTGCCTTTTTAATGATCTTTTGCTTTCATATATTTGCTTTCATATATATATTTTCATATATAATGTTCTTGATGACATCCCACAGCTCATCAGATCTTCTGTCAGTAGTGTTCAATGCAGCCAATATGTTCTTGAGATGGTCTCAAAATTCAGATGGGGTAAACTCATAGTCATATTTTGGTTCTCATTGAGTTGTTTTAATTTTCTTCAAGTTCAACCTGGACTTACATAATCAATTGATGATCTGTTCCACAGTCAGCTCCCTGGCCTGGTTTTAGCTGCGATATTGACCTTCTCCATAGTCTCTTTGACTTCTGTGTGTTACATCTGGAGAAGTTCACTTACATAGTTGCCTTTTGTGTTGTTGAAAAAAGGTAATTGTGATGAAAAAGTCATTGTTATCCTTGCGAAATTCTTTCATACACTCTCCAGCTTTGCTTATCTTACTAAGACCATGTTTTCAAATTATGGTTCCTTCTTTATTTTCAACTTTTGCACTGTAATGACCACAAATTATCAGTACATATAGATTGAATGTCTAATCAACTTCAGACTGAAGACCTTGATAAAAATTTTCCAACAAT